TTTTTTATTCCAAAGACAGATGCTATTATTTGTACAGAGACTGTATTGTTACATTTTAAACCCTTCCCCAACCACCCCCGATCATACTACCTAATATTAATAATGAAACTGATTAGTACACAACAAAGATGGATATGCAATAGTTAAAAAAAAATATAAATAATAATAATAATAAAAAAAATAAAATACATGAATTGGTAAATTTAACTGTATACCATAGTCAGGAACGTTACAATGTCAAGGAAGTACCTTTATAGCAGTGAAATACAATAATAAGGGTTGCCAGACATAGAAGAATTTATGAGAACCTCTAATTGAATATTTAATCTTTTCTAGATGTAGGTACTGTATAACATCAGATCCCGAAGCCATTGTGATGCTTTAGGTGGATTTGTAGATTTACAGTATAATAAAATTTGTCTGCGAGCCAGCAAGGATGCAAAGACAATGATATTTAGTTGTCTTTGAGTCAAATTGGATTCATCATCCGGAATGCCGAATATTGCGGATTCTGCACATGACTTCAACGGCGCTTCACACACTTTAGAAAGTGTATCAAATATGGTTGACCAGTAAGCAGTAAGTGTGGGGCATGCCCAAAACATGTGAGTCAGGTCTGCTTCACCTGTATGACACCTAATACAGGTCTTATCAAAGGTAGGATCAAAGGAGGCAATCCGTGTTCTGCTTAAGTGCATACGGTGCAATACTTTAAACTGTATTAAACTCAACCAGGCACAAGTAGTACTACCATTCACCCTGTAGAGAGCATTCCTCCAAAATTCCTCTGAAAATCGCATACTAAGCTCGCTCTCCCACCTGCTTCTAATCTTGTCTGTTCTTGCACTTTTTAAAGACATTATAATTGTATATATTCTTGAAATAAGACCTCGTAGATGGGAGGGTACTTCAAACAGAGCGTCCGCAGGGGACTTTGAAGGGATATTTGGAAATGATGGGCTTTGGGCATTAACAAAATGACGTATCTAAAAATAGCAGAAAAGGTCTACTGAATTAAGAATGAATTTAGAACGCAGATCACTGAAACTCGCAAAGACACCATCAATGTAAAAATCACTGAACCGAGAGATGCCCTTATCTTGCCACTGTTTAAATACAGTGTCTAGTTTTGCTGGTAGGAATGCATGATTATTACGTATTGGACTCTGAAGCAAGAGCGTTTCTCTTAACTTTAAATGCTGACGTAGTTGAGCCCATATTTTAAGTTCCAATCACTTCTACAGCCACAGGTGTATAAACGGGGTTTATTTGGAGCGGACAGGACAATACGGCAGACAACATCAATGACTGATCTGGGGAATACTGACTCAGTCGCGGACTAAATACACAGGATAGGCCAAACAGAACCTGCAACAGGTGATTACAATCGGGAATTAACACGAGGCAACGAGGAGGGCGTGGCACACAGGAGGATCGAACGAGCAGGTCATGACAGAATTAGCATCGGTAAACAAATTAATTGCATCATAGTTTGATAAGGCGTTATCATATCATTACAGCTA